AAGTTCCATGTTTTTGTATAATAAAATCTAATATGAAAGGTAAAACTTGTAAGTAATGATAGTTTATATACCTAATTAAAATTAAAGATAAATTAAGATAGATTGATATATTAAATGTTCATGTTCAATCACGTACTTATTTAAGAGGCTTATGACTATGTTATATCATAGTTGTAATACTAACATAATTAGAAGGGGCCAACTAAATGAACCATATGCTTAAAGAAAATTGTGAAGCTAGCTATAAGCTAGGACCTTAATAAAAGTGATACATTATACATGGTGAAACAAGTTAGCTAGGGATTAAAAAGATTTTATGATTAAAGAAGAATTTATATAAGTTAGACATCATAAATATCTTACTTATTGCAAATATTAGTATAGGTATTAAGCTAAGGGAGGCAACATTTAAGAATTACTTGATAGATTAAATCATCCAAGGCTAAGGTGGATAATTAAATTTCTAAACTTTCTTCTAAATTTTAATGCATTGATTATTATTTCTCCTTAACACCGTCGTTGCCAAGTCCCAAATTCTGGATGAGAAAAGTGGAGGGGTGTGTTAAAATTTGTTGAATAATCATGACATGAATCATTTAATACATTGTATTAATGCTAAGGTGTTTCCTGGAAGCGACGCCTGAATACAACGAGAAGTGTGTAAGGGCTGCTACACCAACGTCCAAGTGCAATGTTAAATAGGCAAGGATTCCCACATCAAGGACATAAGTCTTTGAGAAGTTTGATTTTTTTACATCTTTATAAGCGAATGATGGCCAATTTAGTTTCAACTTGATTTATTTCATTAGTAAACTAAACTAAAGGATACCACTAGCACTTCATATAGGCCACCAGAGTCCTTAAAGTTTTCTAATCATAACCAAGATTAGTCATAATCTAGTGGTACCCATTTTTAATATTAATATTTGAGAAGAATAACGTACCAATTTTAGATCAAACATATTATCCAAATAGGGAATTAAGAACTTAAATTATAATTTTATAGAAGGCTTTACAATCAATGTACATTCTTCATGAGCCATATTTCTTGGTAATAAGTAAAGCAAATATAACATAAGGACTCAAACTTCATGAATAAATTTTTTTAATCAAAATCAATCAACCTATTCTGACTTAGTATAATCTTTCAAGTTTAATCTATAGTGAGAAAGTTTTGGTATTTGATCATGGAACAAAACCAATTGCACATTCAATGCCACACAATGAAGCTAACTCATCAAGGGTTTCCTCTGGGCCAAATCCTAAAAATCTTCTAGGAGTTTAAATGGTCCATCTAGTATGGGCTGCTCACCAATCTCAATAATACTTTTGTCTGATTACTAAGAGAATGATTATCCCAAATTCTTAACATTTTTTAACAAACTCCTTATGTCAAAATTTGAAACTTTTCTTTCCCTTTATATTGAATATCAAGTTTTACCTTACAAATAAGCTTTGAGGCCTTTTCAACAAGCTTTGGGGGAACTAGTTTAATGGTAGCACCATTAAGAACAGTGTTTTTTAATCTGAAATGGACCATCTTTTGATCATATAAATATGATCTACAAAAGAGGATATATGCTACATCTATTAGTAAAACAACACACCATTTCTCATCTTTATAACTTCCAAGTTGGATGAATATTAGACATCTTTTAGTTAATAGTAATGAGATTTTACTCGCCCATGCTATATTGAATGGCTTAGGGTGTGGCTAACGAGTAAGTTAGACCCTTAACAATGTCATTTTAGAGATGATGTTCACAATTCTACCAACATCAAATATAATTTTACATCTTGTCTTGGCAAATACTATGAAAAAAATTTGTTCTCCAATCTTCTCCTACAACTTGGGTTGCAAACATGCATCTTACTATAATATTTCCTTCGACATGATCATCATCATCGTTTTCAATACAACAACAATAACAACATCATTAAGCCTTTGTCCCACTACGTGGGGTTGGCTACATGAATCTTTTTTTTCAATTGTGTTCTGTTAAAAGTCAAATTCTCATTTAAATTTAATAAAGAAAGATCATTTATAATATGTTCTAACCAAGTCTTTTTAGGTCTACCTCTACCTTTCTTTACATAAGTCAAATCTACTATCTCTACTTTCCTAACCGGGTCATCGGAAGGCCGCCGTTTTATGTGACCAAACCAGCTAAGGAGACTCTCTCTAATCCTATCTTCCACTGGCGCTACTCCAACCTTTTCACGTATATGCTCATTTTGTATCCTATTTCTAAGAGTAAAGCCACTCATCTACCTGAGCATCCTCATCTCTGCAACACTTAACTTAGTATTATGCTTCTCTTTTAATGGCTAACATTTGACATCATAAAGCATTGCAGGTCTCACCACCATCTTATAGAATTTTGCCTTAAGTTAGAGGGGACTTTTCTATCACACAACAAGCCCGATGCATTCCTCCACTTCAACCATCCAACTTGAATTCTACTGATAATATCCCTATCTATTTCACCATCACTCTGAACAATAGATCCAATATATCTAAAATGTGTACTCTTATTAATAACTTAATCGCCCAAAGTCACAATCCCCTCACTAGGTTTATTACTACTAAAATTACACTCCATATGTACAATTTTAGATCTACTCAAGCGAAAACCTTTAGACTCTAGAGTTGACCTCCATAATTCAAGTTTACCTTCAACTCCCTCTCTAGTCTTATCAACAAGAATATCATCATCAGCAAAAAGCATACACCAAGGTACATCCTCTTGCAAATGTCTAGTGAGAACATCCATGACTAAATCAAAAAGATATGGGCTTAAGGCTGGTCCTTGATGTAAATCCAATAGAAATAGGAAAATACTTGGTCAAACCACCTTGTGTTTGAACACAAGTAATAGCTCATGCATTCATCATCTTCAATGATGGGCTCATTACCTTCTGCATGTTAAATTCTTGCATCATCATCCAAAGATGATAATTCAAAATCTTATTCAATAAAAAACCTTGAAAGTGCATTGGTGTGATATAAGAACCATTTGGCAACATCAAAAGCAAGCAATGACATTGTTTAAATAGCAAGCAAAATGGTTTTCTTACACAAAACTTGTAGCAATTTCAGACGTGCCAAAATTTGTGGGCTAGACAAATATCCATTTAAAAATATTGCTATTGAGTTTCAAGAGATCCACCTATGTGGCATTAATGTGACTGCCAACATTCGCAGTAGCAAGATAACATTGACATCACTCAATTTCCAAGAGCTTATGTTGCACATCATCTAGAGATTTTGGAGCAAACAACATGAATTCTCTTTGTAGCTCAAGCTTTAGTCCATTAATAAACCTAGGCATAACTACTTAAGGCTACTCAGAAGACCGCAAAGAGAGTTCCTTGAACTTATTCAAATAATTAATTACAATTTTAAGTACCCTATTTGAGGTTCATCAATTGCTCAACTAGCTTCCTCTTATAGCATGATGGTATATAATTTTGTTAGAGCCAATATTTCATTTAATCCTTGGTGGTAACAAGTGTTCATCTTGGCAATCTAATTCAACTTCAACTCCTTGCCAAAACTTTTTGATAAATCCACCCATTTTAACTATCATGAATCAAAATGCACTGGCAACTAGTCAAGTGATTTTAGGTGAATGAGAAGAATATTTTAGTTAAAAGAAACATCTGACAAAAAATGTACTTAATACTTTTTTTGGTCAAAGGGATATCTATGATAAAGGATAGTGAATTACAATTAAGACATTAAAACTATAGGGAACATATGTGAACACATCAAATGACTGGAATAAGATCAATATAAGAGTAAATTAATTCCCTTGAAGATCAACTCTTCAATTTTATAGTTTAAATAATTTTAGTAGCATCCCTCTAATCTAAAAAAATTAATCTCTAAACAAAATTTAGTGATCTAACTTAGGCCAGTTGGTATTTGAGTTATCTGCTTATGAGGTAATTCAAACATTTACATCTTCGAAGTTGTTGCATCTACAACTTAGAAGAATTGAGCTCATTTGTTAAGGTGCAGCATTCTACTCTTTAATTTTAGATCTACAGGAGATTGAATCATAACTCTACACATGTCTTGCTAGCTTGAAACTAGAATTATGAACGCTTCACCTCAAGAAATATTTTACCCAACACACGAAATATCCTAACTCGCAAGCAACCATCTCGGGAACATTTTACCTCAGCTCGCATAATATTGAGTTCCCGAAATCCAATCGTGCATTCAAGACCATTCAATACACTGTTGCAATCTAGGGTTCGGCAATAAAAAAATTATCAATCAATCCCAAGCATCCATCATCCAATTGATCATTGTAGCCTCTTAATGGCAGTACATTGATTGAACTCCATTCATTCAAGGACAATCCTTTGGATTTTGACATATAAAAGCTGAATTAGACACTGAAACCATTAGAATAGAACTGACAAAACTATCAAGTGATGTTTGAAATTAAAACTACTAACCATGAGTCAATTACTAATATATCAACAGTAATTTCTTTAAATTGCATTACAGTGTAAGGGTAAGCAACTCATACTTGCCAAAGTACAGAAGTGTGCCATTTACAAGAAAAAACTTGAACAATAACCAGGATACCTTAATCAATTTTCATCAAAGAAAAAAGCAAAAATGTTTAAAATAGCACAAAAGAAGCCCCCAAAAAAAAGCAAGCTAAACTGAAAACTTAATGGAATGTGGAAAGGGTTTAGGTTAAAAAACAAATTAACGTATCCTAACGATAGGGTGGTGCCTGTTTAATTTTCCCTATAAAAAAGAAGCACCAAAATAAGAATCAGAAAAGCACTGTGGTATCCCAATCCAAGAAAATCCTACCGCTGGCACTAAATAATAAAAACACTAATAATAAGTCTGCTAAAATCTCTCACATCTAGGTCATTTCCCACAGCAATGACAACCCAATCAATACAATTTAATCTATCAAAGGGAACACAACAAACAAATATTGTAGACGGGATAAAAAAAAAAATCTAACCGGTTATAGAACTCCGTCGCGGATCGGGATCCGTTGTAAAATATGAACCAGAGTAAAACGAGAATCAGAATATCTACTCAGATTAAGGAACCGCAGGAATGAAAAACGCTCCTTTAATCAAATTTTCTCAAGAAATAAGAAACCGTGGAAAGAACTTTGTAATGATATGGAGAAAAAGGATACTAAAGAGGTAGCGTTCCCACCAATCAAGCATGTACAGACCCATGGTGACGTTGTAGAGATGGATCTTGCGACTGATCCAGTTCATATTTTCACTTGGTTTCTCTTCTTCGATCTGAACACGAGAAAGACAGAGAGACAGAGCTGTGGAGGCAAAAAATAAAGCAGAAATTTCGAAATGCGTGGAAAGAGGAGAGAAAATCCTTCAACGATAAAGCCAGGAACATGCTTTTTTGGTCAACCCCTTGAGAGCCTCATATATATATATTTAAACATTTAAATCTTATCTGTATAATTTATCACTCTCATTTCCTTTTATACACGAAAGAGACAGGGAGAATAAATGGTGTGGGATCTAGCAATAAGATTTCACTAAAAGTCATGAATGATGTGGGAGGGTGCACTAGTATAAGTGTCCCAAGACCTCAACTATCAAGATGAGAACTTACAACAATATTTTTCGATTTGTATGAATGGTGTATTTGCAGTCTTCTTTGGTTCGTCATGTGGTTTAAGATACAGATGCCCTATCTGTCTTTTTTTCTTTTTTTTTTTTTGCATTATCATGAATGTTCTTTTTTAATCTTTTAAGATGGTGTATATGCTAAATTATCTTTTGAAGGTTTCAAATCAGGGTGGACAAGTATTAGTCACTTGTTTTATATAGATGATCATCTAGTCTTTGGAGAAAGTCACTCTAGGCAATGCTACTCCTCATAAAAGTATAATGTGTCTTTTTTCCTTCTCCTTTGAGCTTCACATAAATCATGATAAAAGCATTATTATCTTCTCTAATGACTCTTGCAATATCAATGACATTTGCAATATCCTCAATATCAGTCATTCTAACAATCATACAAAGTATCTTGGCTTATTGTTCTCAATGAAAAGACTTTTGTTTGCGAACTTTCAAACCCTCATGTAAACATTCACAACCCTTCGTGATGGCTAGAAAGCTAAAACATTGACATTTGCTAGAAGGATTCAATATTTGAAATTCACTAATTATAACACTTTAGGTTATTGGATAAGGGGGCCAATTTTACCTAACGCTTGCTATAAATTTATTGATAACTTATGTTCTAAATTCTTATTTCATGGTGATATCAACAAAAGGAAAATTCACAATATTTCTTAGAAAGCCACATGTTTGTTCTTGATCTATGGGTGGCCTTGGCATTCTTGTTATCAATGTTCTTTGTCATGGTTTTTGTTGCTCTCTTATTTTATTCCTTTATAATGGGGATGGTTTATTATCTGGTTGGTATAAACACAAATACTTTTCAATTTGGAAACCTCTGCCCTCTAAGTACTCTAAACATTGGATGCTTATTTGTAACATTAGAAGCAAAATTAGAAACAATCTCACTTTAAAGTTTTCTTTGAACAACAGTTTATCACTCTTATGAGACCCTCAGAGCAATTGAAATACCTTATTTCAAATTCTAGATTCTGTTGACTCTAGGGCTTACCTATCTCTCCATGTCAAAATTTAATCAGTGAAAATGGTTGACATATTCCTAATTCCCCTTAATGTTCATTATGCTATTGGTAACATTGTTATTATTTCAATCTCTACTCCCAGTCTTTGTTGGGTTGGGTTGACAACCCATCCTTTAAAAATTTATCCTCTCATTACTATGAGGATGCTCTAGCATAAATTTATATGGCACAAAAATTATGCCCATAGGTTATCTACTTTTGCTTGGATGTATATGTTGGAAGGTTTTATCAATCTCAATATTCATATTTCTATAGTTTGCATTCTTTGAAACCACTCCACTGCGATACTTTGTTGTTGTAGATGGACTAATTTTTATTCATACCCAATCAATGCCAAGTGTTTGACTTCATTTCATATTTGCAAAATCTAGGTGGTTTGATCAAAAGGCTTTATTTTTTGGTTACCAGCTGCTCTTTATATTATATTTGGTAAAAAATGGTAGAAGATTTGGGCTTAGTATTAATAGCATTCCAACTATTTGTCGCACTAATTAAAAACCTATTCTTCAAAAAAATTCTTCATAGAAGAAGTCTGATAAGCTCAAATGCCCTATCACTATACACCACTATTGTGACGCCCCAGGCATCCATAATGAAAGGATTCATCGACAGTCTTGATCAACCATCACTTCTTGCTCCCTTGCTTGGACCTGAAATTGTTAACCACATATAATGAGCTTCAAAAAGCCCAGCAGGTCACCAAAAACCTACAACTGAAATTAAAGCACGGTACGGAAGCAATATGCATATCAATCAGTCGAACCCATAACAGTCAGTTGCACATAATCAGTGAATCTATGCAGCGGATACGAAAATCAGTAATCAATGCATGATTGATACAATTCACAATCATCGGTAAAAGAATCGATAAACAGTAGGAAGAAATCCATAAAGTTCAATAAATCAAAAATCATCAAATCTCTTTAATAGTCGTCTTATCTATCACATCAGTCTATAACATCAGTCAAATCAATGAAGTAGAATCATATCAAAACATACACTTGCAAATCGATCAGTTATTCAATATAACTTTCTCAATAAATCATATGTAATCCAGTAATCGATATCACATGTTCAGTAAATCACATATCACTTGATCAGTATCTCAATCAATAACAGCAGCGTATGTATCAATATCAATAACAATCCAATGACGACATGAACGATTATGCTATAACAGTGAAATCGAATCAATCAGATAAGTAAAACAATTAATTCCGATCAATAATATCAATCGGTATGGAATCACATAAAACGATCAAATCAATACATCGTAAGAACAGATGAAATCAAATCAATAAAATCATCAAATACAATTGAAATCAATCAATGAAATAAAATCATATAAAAATCAATAAATCAATAATCACATGCTCGGTGTATCACATGTATCTTGTTCGGTGTATCACGTGCTATAAGATCAGTACAATGAATCAATGTTTCAATGGTATCGGTATCGGTATCTGTATCCATGAATCAATACAATATCTATATCCATATCAATATCAATGTCCAGTGATATGTACCGTATGCAATATCAATAAAATCGTACAATAACAGTAAATCCGTAAATCCGTCAGTAAATCCATTCAAAATCAATAAATCAATAATCAATACAAGAAGTCCGTCGATATCAATAAATCCATAATGAGATCATAAGGACAATACCGTACACATGCAATTCAATACAGTAGTCTTACTGAACAAGTACAATCACTAGCTATTCAGGCGTTTTTCAATGTTAGTATCAATGTTAGTAATCCGTTGGCTCAGTGAAAAGAGTCGTCACTCCTGTCCGTCGGCGCAGTAATCTCCTTATAACTCCCTTCGGTAATCACGTGATCAGTAGAGGATATCGCCAAACCTTTTTTAAAGGAAAGCCCGTCGGCCCACCATCCAGACAGGTCAATCTTCAACCAATGGTTCAACCAGCCTTTATTCAACAAGTAAAAGACATGGCTTGGAATATTGATGTATCGTTGTATCCGTTGGCTCAATAAGTGTCGTCACCCTTGCCCGTCGGCAGAATAATCTCCTTATGACTCCCTTCACGTGATCAGTAGAGGATAACATCAAACCCTTTTTAAAAGAAAGCCCATCGGCCCACCATCCTGTCAGGTCTATCAATCTCCAACCAACGGTTCAACCAGTCTTCACTTGTCTTTCAGTAACAATAACAATAATTCAATCATATATTCACATTCGTATGCATATTCAATCATTCAAATCATCAATTCAGAAAATCAGAGGTCGTACGAGAAATCGGCGGCATAACGACAGTATACATAATTTACACAGAAATCACAGATTCAGAACTTTACCAAATTACCACAGAACAAGTAAAACAACAATATAAGAGTACTTTCATTGTACTGAGACAACATTTTTCAACATCCTGATAATTATCTATTCGATAAAAAATCGAACATAACTCAAAATAACTGGTAGAAATTTTACAGAAAATACTCAAATCGCGCAGAAATATCATATAAGAAACATATCAAAAGTTGTGCGGTAAAACTTTCGTCAATACAAAATTAAACGCGTTTTTCGGTAACGGAAACACAAAACTGAGCACAGAAATATCAAAACTCGAAATCTTCGAAAACAGAAATAGGATTCGGAGTCCTTACTGCGAGACAAACAAATCTTCCAACTGCGTCGTCGGACGAAAAGCGCTCCGCGGGCTCCAAAACCAAGTTTTTCCTTCTCTTCCTTCTCTTTCTCTCTCCTGATTTATCTTTCTCTCTCTTCAAATGAATCCAAAATATCTCTATCGGCAGACGATCCAAAATTCGTCCCGGGACGATTTTCCCTCGGGTAGAATTTCGTCCAGACGAAATTAAATAACGTCCGGACGACTTGCACTCTGGATAAATTTCGTCCAAATGGATCGTCCAGACCCTTCCAGGTTCGTACAGACAAAATTGACAGATTCTTCACAATTTTCTTCAGTTCGTCACGTACTAAAGCCAGTTCGTACGGACTAACTGCACTAAAAAAAATCAGCTTTGGAGGGGGTTTTACAACTATTGCTTTTGGTATTTGGTTAGGGTTGTCCTTGGTCTCTATCCTATTTTTGGTATGTTTTCCATGGTAGTGTTTTGGGTTGGCTTTCTTCTTTTGGTTTGGCTACTCTATTGCCCGATGACTTCATTGCTTATTACCTGGGTTAAATTTTTTATCACAAGAAGAGATCCTATAATTTGGGAACAATGATGAACTTTGGTTTTCTTATCTAATCCCATTAGGTGGTCAATGTGGCAACAATTTTGGCATTCTTGGATGGCTGAAGTGATAACTAGGGGATTCCAGTCCTCGACCTAATTCTTGTTAACCTGGTGGTTCTTTTTATGCATTCTGAGTCCATGACTCAATTTTTTTCCTTTTTGCTCTTCTGGGTGCTTAATTTCATTTTTTGTATGCTATCTTTTGAGCTTAGCTCTTTTTTGACAGTTCTATCCTTTTATAGTTTATATGTCATATGAGTTGTAATTATGTTTTTGTTCTTTAGGATGTTATTTTTTTTTTTATAGTGAATGAATTGAGCTTTGTCCTTATTTTTCCAAAAAAAAAACAATGAGATCTCATTAGGAGATGCAACCATGCACTTCGAACCTCATCGAAGTAGAAGATGGGACCATGCAACGGATCGAATGTTAACACTTCGGGTTAAGAAAATGGTATTTTTGTTATATTTATTTAAGGGTTGTTTGGTTAGCTAAAAAAGGAACGCAATATAAA